TTGAAGATCTGATCGAGAGCTTTGTCCTTGAATGGAAAGCAATAAATGAGAGAGATTGGAGGCAGCACAGAAATCCGGTAAGTGGCCACTTTTCTCGCTTTTTCGTCTTTCCTCCAAACTATTGAATTTTCTGTTCTAGATTCCCTTCTCCGGATGGCAACGACCATACTCTGTTGACCTTGGAGAACTACCCAAAGGTCACACTTACCAGGTAAGACTTTACCAATCCCCTAAATTCTATCCATACCCCTCCTTCCCTAGGTCCGAATTGTGGTCCGAGACATGAACCGCGGCACCGCATTCACATCTCCAATTGTGCAAGTGCAGACCCAATCTGCTTGTCAATCGCCCCGTCGAGCTCCTACGAACCTGCAAGTGTCCCCAATTGGGCCCACACAGATTAGGCTTACTTGGGCTCCACTGCACGAGAGCGAGTGGAACTGTGATCGTCTATGGTATATTGTGAAGTACAGCACACCTAAAAACCAGGGATTCAAAAATCTCACCCAAGGAGAGAACTCTGTGGTGTTCGAGTCGGATCCTTACACGAAGTGGGTAACTTTACGGGTAGCTTTACTTTACCTAGCTGTTCAGTGTTGAAAAATCTGGTTTAGATGGAACTTCGAGGTACAAGCGGCCAACCCTGCGGGAGAGACGGAATGGTCACGAACGGAAACTGCGCAGACTCAGGTGCGATTATTATAATTCACTCCATAGAAAATAAATTTTGTTACAAATTATTTCCAGGATGCTTCCCCAGGACCTGTTATGGACCTTCGCGTACAGCCAGTCGGACCAGACAGTTTGCAAGTTAGCTGGAGGCCTCCTATCAACCCCAACGGCTTGATTACTCAATATGAAGTGACTTACCACCTGATCAGCAAGTAAGCTCACTGCTTCCTCAAAGTCATTGTTTCAAAATGATATTTTCAAGGGGTATGTGCGATCAACAGCAAGAAATGCCAAGGACGATCTCTGTCACAACACCACATCATGTCATTACCGGGCTTCATCCTCATTCGAGATACAGGTAATTGAAAGCTACTTTTCCTCATATGCACAAGATTCAGACTGTAAGGCATTGCCGATTATCTTAGTAGGAAATAATGACAGCAAGCCTCAATCTTCTAATAATTCTATTGTGAGCCTCAAATTTTCAAAAACCCTATCTAAACCACAGTCCGAGCGGCAGCTCATGTGATTCATTTGTCGCTGAGAAATTCAGCAGTCAATTCTCGCCCAATACCGTACTCGCAATAGTCGATGCGGAAAGAATACGATCTGGGCGAGGATTAAAAGTTTCGTGGCTGCGTATGACTTTTGAAAAGTGCATGGGTTTACAGAGATACAGATGAATTTTTCAAATTTTGCTCATGAAAATTGATGTCTTAGGGTCTCTGTTGCCGCAAAAACTACTATAGCCGGCGAGCGAGTGTCACAAGAAGTCCAGACCGACCAATCCGTTCCGGCTGCTCCGCCTGTTTATCTCAGAGTAGAAGAAGCCAGAGAATCTGATGCTAGCATTAGTTGGCAAGCACCTCCTTGTCTTCAAGTAAGTTACTGGTTTTTCCTCTTTTCTTTGGATGTGAAATTTATTTTTCCAGACAAACGGAGAGATCACCGAGTACGAGTACGAGATCAATCCAGCAGATCGCCGTGCAGCTCAGCAGCGAATCGCCAATATTGTGCGCGGAACCAGAACTCAGATCAC